AATTTATATAAACAACGACCTGACGTCTAAGGAACAAAGTGTTCAAAAGAAAATAAAGGAGCTGGAAATGGAAGAGAGGTCAAAAGGCAAGAGTACAAGAATTGGATATAAAAAGCTAAAGATTGATAATGATTGGTTTATATGGAACGAACGGACCGAAAAAATGGAGATGGGAAATTTTTTAGTAAGAAAGCGAGCGGAATAGAAGAAAACGTTGATATCGGCCTACAGAAAATAGGGAACAATAAATTAAACTTTAGTGTGGGTTATTGGAACTGTGCGGGTTTTGGAAACGTAAACATGATGGGGGAGGATCAAAGTGGCGCTTTTATAAACTGTGAAGTGGTATGTTTAAGTGAATCGTGGCTAACGCATGCGGCAAACGTTAAACCTCAGTGGTTTCGGCAACGGCATGTATTTTATGTTAACGCTACAAAAGAAAAAGCCATGGGAAGAGCAAGCGGGGGATTAATTCTCTTGATTGGGCATCGATTAGTTAAAGACGTTAATGACATAACCGTTATAATTGAAAATTTCTTTTGTATTTTTGTAAGAATTAAGATTAACTCTATTTTTTTTATTATAGGTTCCTTTTACTTAAAACCAGATCTAGATGGTAAATTAATGGCACAGGTAATAAATGAAACAATTACAGAAGATATTATAACAGGTGGCGATTTTAATTGTCGTATAGGTGTAATGAATAATTTCAGTGATACGGATAATGATATTTATTGGGGCGAATTAGAAAACGAAAGAAAGTCAATGGATCTTTTTGTTAACCAAAAAGGAAAGTTTTTAATTGAAATTATGGAGGATCTTGGCTTTATAGTCTTGAATGGCCGATCTTTTTCAGACAGTACCGGAAATCTTACCTATATGAGCAGTTCTGGAGGAAGTGTAATTGATTTAGTATGGGTAAGCACAAATACCATTTCATTAATCAAAGATTTTAGGATTCATGAAAACGAAATACATTCCGATCACTTCCCTTGTTCCTTGTCACTCACTTTGAACTCTGTTGCAGATAAATCTGGTCACCATCTCACCAATAACATAATAATACCCCGAAAAGAAAATTACCTAAGGTGGAATGACAATAAACGCAACGCATATTTAAATATATCTTCTTTATCATATAGAATTTCTTCCTTGCAAGACTCACAAGACGTTAATAAATTAAGTCAAAATCTAAATTTAGCTATCAATGAAATAGGGAAATTACTGGGCCTACAACACTGCAGTCAAACTGCAACAAACCTTGGTTTGACACAGTGTGTCAAAATCAAAAAAACGAAGTTAGAATATCGTATAAATTAGCTAAAAGTCATAACTTTGGTCAAGTGTATCTGCAAAATCGTATAAAAGCAAAAAAACAATTTAAGGCAATTTGTAGAAGAAAGAAACACGATTTTAATCTCCTTTATAGGTCTCGTATTACAAATATTATGGATTGTAATACATTCTGGCAGACTTTTAAATGCAAAAAAAATAGAACAAAGATCACAAGTGCCCCAGTCATTGAAATACATAGGTGGGTGAATTTTTATAAGCCTTTTTATTCACTCTGATTTAAATTTTAATATGCACGATGTATTACACCCATTTTTAGCCAGACCGATAACTTCTTGGGAATTAAATAAAGCATTACAACATGCATCTACAGGTAAAGCGATGGGCTGGGACGGAATATCAAATGAATTTCTAAAAAATTTGAGCTTGAATTGGCATACCTACATTTTACGTCTTTTCAATAGGATTTTAGACTCAGAACAGATACCATATCAGTGGCCAAAAATTAAAATGATACACTTGCATAAAAAAGGTGACATATCAGTTACTGACAATTACAGAGGGATTGCGATAATGAATCACATAGCCAAAATATTTAACTACATTATTTATAATAGAATATCGAACTTTGTAGAAGAATCTCAAATATTACCAGAAAGTCAGTGTGGTTTTAGAAGAGGAAGGGACTGTCAAGACAATATTTTTGTACTGAATGCAATTATTTTTAATAATATTCGTTTAAAAAAGCAAAGGATGTACGCTCTATTTGTTGATTTTAAAAAGGCATTTGATTCAATTCAACACGATCTTTTATGGCAAAAACTTTCACAAACGGGAATAAGTGCTAAACTCATAAGATTAATAAAAGGTTTTTACTCTAAAGCGACATTGCAGATCAGAGGTAATTAATATCACCAAAGGTGTCCTACAGGGTGATGTTCTAAGCCCCTTACTCTTTTCGTTGTTCACAGCAGACATGGAAGCGTTTTTTAAAAATTATGGAATAAGTGGAGCTCCTTTAGATGCCGTCACAGATATAAGGCTTTTAATGTACGCAGATGATTTGGTCATATTTGCTAAGTCTGCGCCAAACATGAGAAAAGCGTTACGGGCACTAGAAAGTTACTGCTCCCTTAACAGCCTAACTGTTAATGTGGATAAAACAAAAATTATTGTATTTCGCAAAGGTAACCGTATTGCGGCGGACGACCCTTTTCTGTATAATAATGGCGCTATCGAAGTAGTAAACTCTCATTCTTACTTAGGGTTAATTTTTCACTTTAACGGTAGTTTCAAATGCACTGCCAAAGACAGAATACGCAAAGCAAAAATTAGCTCAGCCACTATTTTAAATGTAATAAACACGGCTAAAATGGACACTTGGGATTCTATCCTCAAGTTGTATCAAACAGTAGTAGTGCCCACTGTATCGTATGGTTGTGGAGTCTGGGGCCCTCCGTTTACCAAGCTGATTGAGCAAGTTCAAGTAAATTTTTTTAAAAAGGTACTGTATTTACAAAACTCCACCCCAGGGTATGTTATAAGAATGGAATTGTTGCTTCCCAAACTGGAATATTACGTAATTAAATTCGCTTTACTACTGTTAATTAAACTCAAAGGATCAGGTAAAGATCGGTATACTCACAAAGCTTTACGACGGTTAATATACCTTGATAGTTGTCACACTAATAATCCAGAAAGCAACTGGTACACACAAATAAAAAAATTCATAGAGAGCATTCGCGAAGATTACTTTAACCCAGAAGGGGTAGATAGCAGTTACATTTTAGACACCCTTGATAAATACACTAAAAAAAATGCCAACGATGATTGGGATAAAGTACTTTTGAGTGTATATTGTAACACGTATAAGTACACTCTGAAACAAAACCCTCTCACAAACACATCAGTCTCCATCATAAGATTGCCGATTCCCTTGAAATATAAAAGAACCTTAATGCAAATTAAAACTCACAATAAAGATATGGTAGTAATGTACGTCAATAAAATCAATTATAAAATAAAAATCACAGATATATGTACTATATGCAACACACATCAATGCGAAACTCTCCAACACCTCTTCTTTGAGTGCCCACTATACCAACCTCTCAGAAAAGAGCTCATTACTATTTTTCCAGAACGTGATATATTTACAACATTACAAAATTTAAACAGAAACAATTTTTTTACCGTGGTGGTTTTTCTAACGGAGGCTATGAAGTTGAGATCATTTCTGTTGAATGAGTGACATAATAACAATAATTACAAAAACAAATAAATTAAGAAAATGACAGTCATTTACTTTCTTTCGTATGGGTACAGCCGAAGAATAGATATTGATTTTGCTATACTTTTTGTTTTTTATCTCGTGCTTTTCTTTTAAATTCGAATGTTATGTTAGATGGTTTTCTTTCTTTTTCTTTTTCTTGCTAGTGAAGATTAATTTAATTTGTTCATGATATACATGTCAAGGGAACAATAAAGATTATTATTATTATTATTATTATTATTATTATTTCTTAGAAATGGCGTTTCCGGATAAAAACGAGAAGCAGCAGAACCTGGATAGGAATGATACGGTGATTCAAATATCGGAGAGTGATGAGCAAGACTACCTCGAAGAGAACAGTGTTCAAGGATATGATATCAATGAACATGGTAAAGAACAAGATGAGCTGTTACCGGAAGCGGACTCAGAGGTCATTGAAAGTGGTTCTAGCGGCAGGCCAGTTCGAGCACATCATACTCCCATGTGGCATAAAGATTACGAAGTGGATGCTAGTTTTGCTTTAAATGCGCTATCCTATGTGGAAGATCTGCCGGAGTCACTGTCCGAAATGCGGAAGTGATTGGGTTATGTGGCAGCGGGCGATGCAGGAGGAGATGGATTCGTTGGAGCGAAACGGAACCTGGACTTTGTCGAAACTGCCGGAAGGACGAAATGCTATACCATGCAAATGGGTATTCAAAATAAAGCCAGGTGAAGGTGGGAAACCAGCACGATATAAAGCGAGGCTGGTTGCCAGAGGATTTAGTCAAAGGCGAGGATTTGATTGTTTGGAGAGATATTCACCAGTGGCCGGACTAGACACGTTGCGAGCAGTGTTGGCGCTGGCAAATCGGAAAGGAATGGTCGTCCAGCAAACGGACGTTAAGACGGTTTTTCTGAATGGTGGGTTGTCAGAAGAAATATTTATGTGTCAGCCAGAAGGCTTCGTGAAGAATAAAGATCTCGTCTACCGCTTGAATAGATCGCTTTATGGACTGAAACAACCTTCACGGCAATGGAATGAACGTTTCAATGAGTTCGTGAAGAGGATTGGTTTCACACGAAGTGCCAATGATCTCTGTTTGTATACATAGCCGACTGCAGTGTTTGAGCGGGCGTGTTGAAGTGTGCAAACACCTGTAGTCCATGGCAACGTGTATCTATGATACTGAGTTGAAAACAAGTTTAGTTTTTGAAATATAAAAAGACATTTTTGTACTTTTTAATATCGTCCGTTTATTTTGTTGGTTGATCCTCGATATTACCACACAACACTTTAAAATCTACGTTACGCGCGGTCTAGTTATAACAAGTCTCTGGTCTTTGCAACCTTGTGATTAAATACACCCTATATAACGATATGTAAAAAATGTGGTAAAAGGGCTTTACAGTTTGATTAAAAATGCATTAACTATAATTTGAAAAATGTACTCACCTCATCTTTCATTCCTGGACATTTTGTAACCACTAAGAGATGGCATCGCTTGTGTACTACACAGGTGCATACTGTAGATGAAATAATTAATAATTAATAGACAAATCGTAAATAAGTCTTATAAACATAATTTACATTAAACAAATAAGCCTTTAAGCGCAAACTGTACATTTTTGCGGGTTTTTATCTCAAAAATGCATAGAAAATAATAATTTTTCTACATTTTATGTACACAGTGTATGTGTAAAATAATAAGTGCACATACAGTTTAATTGTGGTCTGATTTGGTCAATGACACATACTTGTGAGATTAATTTAATAGAAATTATAGTGACTTACTAATTATTAAAATGCCCCTCTTTAGCTAATTTAAATGTTCAATCGCATTTATTTAGGCAAAACCTGAAAATGTAGTCCATGGTTTATGGACATACTTTTTATGTTTACAGAGGGTTTACTAGATATAAAATATCATCTCAACAGGCAAGTCAAAGGTGTTTACCATCTGCTTTTTAGCAACTTTTGAATGCACTTGAAAAATCACAATTTTGTGTCCAACATAAAGCCCAAAATGTTGCTTTCTTGCTCACGCGATAAAGTAGTTGGCATACAACATACAATATTTACATACTTATACAGGGCTATCATTCCAAAACGAACCAGGCGAAGAGTGAATGCTAAACCTTCCATTAAAACATTATTAAACTCGACTGAATTATCTGTTAAGCCATACAGCTACTGCTTAACCCAATATTTAAAAAAATTCCAATAATAATATATAAATAATGGACCCAATTTTAAAGATTCGTATTTATTTTTTATTAAAGAAATTCATGATCAACAATCTATATACTAGGGGTGGCCAATCTTTTAACTTGCCAGGTCTACTGGTCTTTCTTTAAAAAAGTCATGTCATAAATTTTCACGAGCCTTGCCCTTGGTTTGATTGCACGATCACGAACTTTTTGCTACCTTTACAAGACAATTAATTCTTTAATCAAAATATCAAACAAGAAACGAAATTCTGTTTGTGTCTGAAATATAATAGTATATAGTACAGCTTAGACCACAGCACAAATTAAAAAAACGATGCGTCTGCAAGAATGCTCATGTGCAATTAGAGGGAATAAATAGTATATTACGTACTGAGCGCGGAAGTAGCTTATTTCTCGAAGAATGTTAACTGCCCGAGGCGCTTGCGCCGAGGGCAGTTTTATTCTGAGAGAAATAATCTTTCGCGCAAGGTTCGTATACTATTTTATTCACAATCGTAAGAAATTACAAAAAGGTTAAATAAATTGTTTAAATTTTGCATTTTATTCTCATTAGCGGAAAAATGTCACACAGTTCGTACAATTGTCAAACATCCGTCAATTGTTTCATTTTACGCGGCCGTACTTTTACGAAAATTTGAATTTAAAATTGAAAATGTCTGATTCAGAGGAGATTATATGTACCCCCCCTGCGTTACGAGAAGTTAGCGCGGAAGTTCATACTTTCGAACTTCGTAATAAATATAATCTAGTTATGGCCGACTTTCAAACTTCTTAAATGAGACGAATGACTCTTATTACTAACCGATTGTGAATAAATAAAATTTTACGCTCTTTGGATAATTAAGGTCGAGATTAAGTTGTTGAAGGAAAATCTTCATTTATTTACATATATATCAAAGGAAAAACGACAAAACAAAGCGATTTCATGGGGGAGTTTAAATTTTACGTCATTTCTTTTTGGTCAGGGTCCAGATTAAGTTGGTAGACCAAAAGTGGATCTAAATTTTGTGATGTCGTCCTTTTTGGTTAACCTCGAGGAGGTAAAGTTGGTAAAGCAAATCTTCATTTATTAACAAATTCCGTCGAAAAACCTCAAAACAATTTGATTTCATGGGAAGGATCTAAATTGTGTGCCATTTCTCTTTGATTAAGGTCGAGATTAAGTTGGTAGAGCAAAATCTTCAATGATTTACAAATTTTCTTTGGAAAAACAACAAAACAATTTGATTTCACGGGGAGGAACTAAATTTGATGCCATCCCTTTTTGGTAACGGGCGAGGTTACGATGATAGAGCAAAATCTTTATTTGTACATGCTAAAAATGCACGAGAAAAAATAAGCTACCGTGATATTTTTACCGTTTGTCACGTCCCATATCTATCCATTGACATTTAAACCCTGTAATTAAAACGTAAAACCGCAAGACGTCAAGACGTAGCCTTGCGATCGACTGTAAACTGGAGTTTACAAGAGAGAAATAAAACACTATGTAACAAATTGTAAGAAAGTATTTATTAAACAGTGGTTTCAAAATTAAAAATTCTTTGTTAATTTTTAGGATGTTTTGCACTGCATATTCTCCACAAAAGGTTCATATTGAAGGGTGTAGATGTAACTGCGATACGCAAACAGGAAGTTAAATGGGAACGATGATTGGTTTTTATAACATTCATTCAATTCATTTATCACCTGCGGGTTGCCTTAATTACCTTTGCAGTCTACCGGTAGACTGTTGTCAATCTCTTGCCCACTCCTATACAGACTGATTCAAATTCGAGGGCCACCATGAGGACCTCAAAAATTGTCAGAGATAGGTGGGTAGTTTAAATTTGGCAAAGTTGCATATTTTGTTGCTTAATAAAATGCCGTTTTGGGAGACATCCTGAATATCCCCGATTATGAGAAAACGCTTGCTTGTTTTGAAAAAAAATCGTTTATTTACATGCTCATTCATTGTACCACATAGGAAAATTTGAAGTATAGCACTTACATTTTTTACATTCTCCCTATCGTTAGTGCTAACAAAAAAGTAATATGGGTATCATGGGCTCTATTTGGGTCAAACTAAAAATGGTAACATCGAAATTTGAAAATATGCATTCGCTCACTTAAGAGATACAGCATAAAAATTTATGGATCAAACGAACTTACCTTAAGTGAAGTTCGATCCAAATTATGAGTTGCTCTCGTTGAAATAAATATAAGTGTAGTACCCCCTATTCTACGCATCTAAACCACAACGTTTTAAAGACAAAAAATCACGTACTCCACCTCGCACGCCGCCAGCCAGGGGCGAACCCGTAAATCGTCATTCATTCAAAGCTGATGTTGTTGTCACTTGGGCTCGGGATGGGTGGGACATATTTATTTCAACGAGAGCAACTCATAATTTGGATCGAACTTCACTTAAGGTAAGTTCGTTTGATCCATAAATTATAAGTTGCTCTCGTCTCATAAATATAAGTGTAGATCTTGAAAGAAGCAACAACATCTAATCAAAGTATCATAACTTCATCAAAACCTATTAGGTTACTAAAAGTGCCTAAATTAGAATTGAGCGTTCTAAAGAAATCAATACACTGAACAAAAATTTCGGTGCTTCACTATTAATTAAAGAGGACTGCACTAGCAAGTCCTGTAATTTGTCAAAGGGTCTAAGTCTTTTATAAAATCGAGCAAACGTCTGTGACTTTGCCGACCAACTAGCAATAGTTATAGAAGCTGAAGCATGCCGAGTATTGTGTGCAGCAAACAAAATAGTATCCATCCCACTAGATTTTAAGACATCTTAATCCACCTGCTAATTGACTGACTCGACACCTTCTGAAGGGATCTCTTGTGGGCTATAAAAAAAAAACTTTGACCAGAACGGGCCCTAACGAGTCTGGTCTTATCCAAGTATTTTAAATGGTAGAGGTCACACAAATCAATTCTTAAAAAATGGAAAAACGCAGCACCGGTTGATAACGATTTCTGCCAGAGGTCTTAATCCTTAAGGGAATCTTGATTTCAATCTTGTTTTCTAAAATCGTTATGTCCTCAACCAGAATGTTAGAAAGCGTTTGCACATATTCAGTTGCTAAATTCAAAAATCTCTTAATAGGCCTGCTTTCACTACGTCAAAATTTCAAATATGACCCAGGGCAGGCCGATCTGAATTGAGGGTTCTAAAGGAGACCCCTCAATCAACTCGCAGGCAAGACATACTCTAAAACATGGCTGGGAGAACTATTAAAAACATCTAGCCCATTATTTAAACAAAAAATCCACCAACGTTTCAAGCCACTATCGTATTGTTTTAGTGTGCTCGAAATAGATTTTACTCGTATAAAAATATCCACAGCTGCCAAGGGAACATCTTTCCGCTTTAAGGCTTCCCTGACAAGATTCCTACCACCAGAGAAATCCGTCTTGGTAATGGGTGTGGTCGCTTATCAAAAGAGAAAAGCCTGCTGTTAGGTTTAAGTACCTGCTATTGATGGGCTGTCTAACATACATTTAAACAATGGAAACCATGGTCGAGTTTGCCAAAGAGGCACACTATAATTCCCTTAGCTTTATCGGCATCCTATTTAGGATTTTTAAAATTAGGGCAAATAAGGAGAAGGTCAGCCCAGCTTACAGTGAAAGAATTTACTTCGCTGGCTTCCGGATCTCTAAACGAAGATATAAATCTATCACATTCCTATTTAGGAGTTTTAAAATTAGGGCAAAGAAGGTCAGTCCAGCTTACAGTGAAAGAATTTACTTCGCTGGCTTCCGGATCTCCAAACGAAGATATAAATCTATCACATTTTTTGTTTAACCTATTAAATCAATGACCGTGTCACGAAACGTGTGTGAGACCGATTTGTCCAAATGCAAGGTTTCAGTTTCTATTGACAGGACTCTGCGCGATTCTCGATCAGTATCTATGTGTTCAACCGACCTTATATAATGTGCAAAAAGAAAGATGTTTCTATTCTTGCGCAGCTGCCCAAATCTCTTTAGTTACAATATTAAGTTTTGGAAATCGAACACTGCCCATCTTATTAATACAAGCAATTGCTGTGGTATTGTCTATATGCGACATACAATGTGCTTGTTTTTAATATTCCTTGCAAAACATTTTGGGCTAAAGACAGCAACCTGTAATTTAAAAAGGTGTATATGGTAGGACTGCTATGGAACTGACCAATGGCCTGTGTTTGAAGCATCTGAACAAACTTCCAAGTAAAATTGTAATTTCTCTAAGGAATTTGAGGGAGTCTGATATTTCTCCAACAGGGCGCTACGCCTCTCTGTAAAAATTCCCT